AGGGAATCATAATAATAATAATAATAATAATAATAATGAAAACCTGTAAATAACAAGCATTGGCAAAGGTGCATGGAATCATCATCATCATCATAATAATAATAATGAAAACCTGTAAATAACAACGGTTGACAAAGGTGCAGGGAATCATAATAATAATAATAATAATAATAATAACAATAATGAAAACCTGTAAATAACGGGCGTCGGCAAAGGCGCGGGGATCCAGGGCTCTGCCCCCGGCTGGTGGGCTGCGAACGGCCCAGCTGTCTGTCCCTCAGACTGACGCAGTCGTCCCACGGCTAAGTGCGGAACTGAGCGGCGGTGCCCTGAAGTTGTGCCCGGCGTCCTTGGTTCTCGCCCTCGGCGCTTTCGTTCGGCGATCACATCGGACGGCTGGAAGCAGCGAGGGTGTCTCTGGGCTGTGACAGAGAGGGACGCTGACGTGTCTGCTCCTGGGAGGGGGGAGGCTTGACACCGACCACCACGACACGTTGCTGAAGGGAACCGCAGGAAACCTGTGTCGATGGAAGGACGCGTGCCCGCGGACGGGAGGACTCGACGGACATGTCGTCCCCTGCGCTTACGTGAGGACGCTTCAGAGCAGGGCGGGGAGAGGTCCCACGTCCACGGGCAACGCGCACGACACCTGCGACGAGATGCAAGTCAGATCGTAAACATATCACAGAATTTTGCAAACGTCGAGGCACGTTGGGCACGCGGGTGACATCGCTGGGGGTCCGGCTCTCGCAGACGGGGACACGGGGTCGGCCATGCTCACCTTCCATTCAAGTGTCTCCACCGGCAGCGCTGTTCGGTCGGGTTCTCGGGAGCGTGGCCGGCGATGACTTCATCAGGCTACGCTGTCACTCATATTCGTGCACAGTGACGGACAAAATCATACACGAAAGGAATGTTCTGCCTTTAGGGAAAAACGTAAGAAAATGAGGAGTCGACCATATGACATCTGAAAATTCTCGTCCATCAAGTGAACAGAAAACAGTGGAACAGAATTGTCACCTGGTTTGGAGGTACGATTGTCTCCTTTGACCGGCTTGTTCTTCTTTTTTGAAGTAAGTGGAACACGTTGCTCGCAGAGACACGAGAGGCCTCTGGACAGACAGACGCTGGGCCTGGCTGACCCCGGTGTCCGTGACCGGGTGGACTTCACTATGCAGCTGCAGCTCGTCGCTGGGCACAGTCGCGGGCGGGGTCCCCGATGCCACGCAGGCGCTGAGCGCTGCGTGCGGGTGAGTGACAGCGGGGTGCCCCGCTCCCCGCGCCCCGAGCATCCCCCCTGACGCCACCCCCGCTCCCGCGTCCCACATCGGGCCAGCAGACGCCTGGCGCAGGTGGCCGTGCATCCCAAAGCCACCGCCCGGGCCACCCCAGGGAAACACAATCAAAACGAATCTGTTTCCTCAAACATGGTAAGTTCGAGGACAGACTTCACGATCCGCACTGTTCTGATTTCCCACGGGGCCCGGCACAGGGCCTTGTCACAACAAAAGCTCCAGGGATGGTGTTTTTGCTTGATACGGCTGTGGCTTTCTTAAAATAAAGAATTCATATTTCAATTCGTCCCCGACGTCGTCCATCTATGCCACGCTATCCGTGGAGCGACACCATGCGCAAGGTGTCGCCCCAAACACGGGAAGGCGGCCAGGCCCATGCTGGGCCTTGCGGTTCTCACGCACTCACGTCTCTACAGGTGTCGAAAGGCGTTATTGTGAGAACCTCGTCGGGCCTCGTCTTTGAATTCCATGCGCAGTTCAGTGGCCTTAGCATAAATGGACTAAGCAATGAAACTTCATGAATCATTCGGTGCCTTAAATGTGGCGTCCAGACCAGAACTACTTTCCGGGTGGTTCCAGACGCCCGCGGCCTGGAACGGATGTGGCAGCCCCCTGCCCACTCCTTCCTCCCTGGGACTGAGAATTCGATCTTCAGAAGGAGCAGACGACGAAAACACGCCAGAAAGACGACCACAAAGTGCATCGGCGCCGTAACCTACTGTTTAAAAACGAAGCTCTCAAAAACAATACAAGGAAAACATAAATCGAAATCACGAAAATATGGAAATGAAAAGCTCCAACTAAGGCAAGACCAGGAAATAAAAAGCAAACTACCTGATGAGAAGCATCTGCGAGAACACGGAGGGGAACGTCATGCCCGGCGGGGGGCGGCTGCACACCCTCCCGAGAAGGTCGAAGGTCAGGAGCTCGTTGTCACTTCATTCAGCGTGTTCGTGGAAGTTCCGGCCACCACACCGCGGCAGGAGAAAGAAAGAAAAGGCATGGGAACTGGAAAGTGTCCCTACCTGCAGGTGGGGTGCCGTCGCCGGCAGAATTCCCTCTGGCTCGGGGCGTCAGTCTATGTTCCAGTAAGACCGTCGACTGATTGGATGCGGCCCACCTCGCGGAGGGTTATCTGCTTTACACAAAGTCCGCCCATTGATGCTGAGGTCGTTCAAAAAACACCTTCAGAGAAACACCCAAAAGAAGTTTCGAACAACTCTCTGGGCACCACGGCCCAGCCGGGTTGACACATAAAATGAACCATCGCAATGATCAAGGTCAAAAAGACAAGACAGAGAGGCACGCCGTGTTCGCGGGCTGGAGGCAACGTAGCAGAGGTGTCGACTCCTCCGAAATTCCTCTCCGAGTTTAAGGTAAAGGGACCACAGTTCGTGGCACTGGCCGTACCCCTCAGTGAGCACACTGAAAAATACCGAATTGCACCCTTTAAAAGGAGGAATTTGGGGACATGTGAGTTACGTTTCAATAAACATGATCTATTGCTTAAAAAGGCCAAATGACTTCTAAAGAGACTGTTGTAGGTACTGGTTTGTATCCTGTGCTGGAGACTGAGTGTCCGTGTCCCTCCAAAATGGCTATACGGAAATCTAAGTCCCCACGTGATGGGATTTGAAGATGGGGCCTCTGGGAGGCTCCGCCCTCACGAATGGGCTTTGTGTCCTTATGAAGAGACCCCGAGCCCCTTCTGCCACACGAGGACACCGTGAGGAGACGGCCCCCCGCGAAGGAGACGGCAGGTCCTCACCGGCCACGGGATCTGCGGGCGCCTCGACCTTGGGCGTCCGGGCTCCGGACGGTGAGAAATAAATGTGTGTGTATGAGCCGCCCCCGTCCGTGGTCTCGCACGGCAGCCCGAGCCGCTTAACACGTGCCCTGATGATGCAGATACGACGCGACTATTTTTAAATCCGAGGTGGAATCGGGGAGAGCAAATGCTGAAACTTGAACTGCTTTCACTCACTGGCTGTGGCGACCTTCGAGTCGTTGTCATGGGACTCTTGGCCGCATTACATCGGATTAAGCAGAGGAGGAATTATGGGATGTTCTCATTCGGCCATCCGTCGTGTCCTTGAGGGCCCGGATGCTCAGTGGAGAAGAAAGAAGTTAGAGATGCGACAGATGCGAGGTCACACACAATCCTGCCGTTCCGAATCTGCATTGGAAAGAGCCGTCTGAATTCATGAGACATCGCGTCCACCCGGCTGTGCGCATTTCCCACCTTCGTCCGCTGACAAAGCCTAGGAACGACCGGTCCGGGAGCAACGAACCTCCCCGGGGCCCTGACTATGGCCTTGAAATACCATTTGTCGATGGAAGAAAGGGTGACCCCAAGTCCGAGATCGTTTCGGGTGGGAAAATCTCGTGAATGACCCTGAGGGTGATCCTAGGTGGCCCTGCCCGCCGAAGGCGGGACATGTGAATGTCGGTGAGGAGAAAAGTCACCGGTTGGCAGGGAAATAGTTCGTGATTTTAAAAACTAACTGGCAAATAAGGAAGGAATGGGGCATGGAGCCCGCCTTTCCCACGTGACGTGTGCCAACGGGTAACCGGAGAGTACGCAGAACAATATCCCCAGCACCCGCTGGAAGGTGAATATGGAATTAAAATCGCACCATCGTGCGACCCAGGGTGAGTTCATGAAGCCACGAGGGGCGATGAAAGGTGTGGACGGGGCAGAAATGTGGGGACAAGCTGCGCCGCTTCAGATCGGGAAGGTGAAGGGGTCGTCTCCGGGGACAGATGCTTGAGGGACGAAGCCGTAAGGAAAGGGAGCGGCAGATGGCGGTGGCTTTGCGGGAGGATGGAGCTGTTACTGGAACGGCACGGGGAGGTGACGGACGCCGGGGTCGCTGGCAGAGGGCGTCTTCCCGACCTGGGACAGGGACCTAGCGCCACACTCGGACTGTGTGCTTTTTCTAGACGTTCGACTTACCGCAAAGAAAGGTTTTTGACATCTCCCCGCAAAAGCACGTTTGATTGACAGTTTCTGATGAAAACCTCACATTCTCAGCGTGTCCAAGTCCACGTGGCTCTGCTGCCCCACGGCTTCTGTGCCCGTCTCTGAGAGCGGGTTTGACGTTTTATTTTTTATTTATTTTTGCGGTTTTAGGCGAGGCAGCCCTTGGTTGACCTTGGCAGCTTACGATCCCTTATTTCTTGATTGTTTACGCCCACAGCACCTGCTCCTCCTAGGTGGTCTCCCGTCCAAGTACTCGCCAGGCCCAGCCCCGCTGAGCTTCCGAGACCGACGGTCAGGGTGGCGTGGCTGGGGACTCCGAGAGCAGGTTTTAGACGGCGCCGATCTCTGTCTCACACGACGGGACGAGGACGTATGTGCCGTCCTCCCGGACTGTGGCTCTGCGTCTTCATCCGTCTCGGACCAGGGGCCGCACGGCCTTCCAGATGGTGCTGGACGAGCCAACGCTCCTTACGACGAGGAGGCCGAAGCTGTGACCACCTCGCCGGCGTTCCGACCAGTACCTCTGCGGCCTGTCGGCGGCCACCGTGCCCTGCCCGCCCCTCTGTGAATTTACTGCTATGTGGCTGTCACCGCAGGTGCTCCTGGATTTAATCTACAGCAGATCAGTCGACACGGGCAGCTGTGACGCAGACGGCAGGGGAACGGCAGGTGGGGACTGAAACACCTGGCCCGACCGGCCCGTCCTGTCGAGCAGGACAGGCCGCCTCGCACCCCTGCGTCCGGGGCGTCCTTCAGACGGTGGGGGGCGTGGTCGCCCCGCTGAGGTGGCGGACGGGTCTGAGGGGGGTGGTCTTGGGCCGCGAGCACCCCAGGCCATCTCAGAGCCGTCCGGCCCCCAGACCGTCCCGCTGTGTCCCTTCCGAGGAGCCTGGGGTTCCGGACCAGCTTCAGCGGCTGCCGCTGGCCAGACTGTGACCTCCACAGCCCGGCCCTGGCTCCCTCTGGCTCGGCCTGACTTTTCCCATCTACATGAGACGTCATCGTACGGCTTCTGAAAAACAGCAAATCGACACCAGACGCGTGTCTGTTCTAATTCTCATTTTGTAGACGAGAAGAAAGGCACGGAACGGAAGTGACTCGTCCAGTGTCCTTCTTCCGACTAGTGACAGAGAGCGCCGTGGCCAGCATGCAGTTCTTCCAGATGCCACGCCAGCTCCCTTTCCTCTGCGGGGCCTGCAGCTCTGTCCCGGCCTTAATTAGGGACAAGACATGGAGCCGGCAGCCGGGTGCACCTGTGCCTCGTACGGGGACGTGGCCGAGCTCACCCCACTCACCGGGCAGGCACCCCGGCCTGGGGCTCGTCCCTATGCGTCTTCTACTCGGCACCTCGGAGCAGTGTGGGCCGCCCTCAGCCGCGGCCACGGTGTGACCAGCGCCATGTGCCGAGACCCTCCTCCGACCCCTTTCAAGCCTGCACGTCCGCTCCGACGGGGCGGCTGTGGGCACAGAGCTTTCCCCGGGGGCTGCGGCCTCTGATCAGCGGGAGTGGAAACTGGAAGAGCCCCCCGGGCCACGGGCACCGTCCACGAGTCACCTCCGCAGTGAAATGTTAAGTTACGTGTCGCCTAGTAAGCCGGCCGCTCCCAGGCACGAGCGAGTCGTCCACTTGGTGGGCGGGAGCCGGGTGGCCTAAAATCCCTTCGGGACAGGACAGAGGACAGAGCCTCCGTGTGGGGGCCACCATCGCCACAGACAGGGACGTTCCACGGCCTCGCGACTTTCAGGAAAAACAAACGTGAAGGAGAAGAAGAAGAAAGAGACATTCTGCGTGATCCGTGGAACGGGATGTTCAAGACACGACGGGGTTTTCGAGGGGTTCGCATATTCATAAACGCGCCGATAAGAACGTGCTTCCTAAACGCTCCACCATAAATTCTTGTTAATATGGAAATGATGCCCCGGGGGACCTCGAATGCGATTCTCCTCGGAAGCTTAGCACACTGCTGTGTGAATTATTAGCTGTTAACACCCGCTACGTTACCCTCCTACGTTAATTAAGTCTTCAGCCGCCGCTGTCGGCTGTTCAGTCATCATGAAGCAAAATGACTCAGTTGTTTCTAAAAAAAAAATTCCCTTTTTTTTCTCGAAGCTTTCACAAATGCTGTAACACGTCAAAAGATTGAGAAAAATCATCCTCCGCTAAGAGATGCTGTGGCAAGTCGATTCCTTCTAAGAGAATTCGTTTTCTCGAAATCGGTGCCTGACTCGTTTTCCGATCTGCTTGTTAAGGGTCGGTGTCCCCAGCGGCCGCTCCCTACAGGGAGGGGAGGCTCATCCAATCGGCGACTGGACAGAGGCCCCACCTCGCCTGCCGTGGGACGCCCAGAGGCACGCGCCGGAGCCCTGACCCCCAAGCCTGGAAGCGTGGCAGCTCCCCATTCTCTGATTTCGATCACCGACAATCTTTAGGATTTTCTTCCTTGTAGATAAGGTTTATTTTTTATTAGTTTCGGGCGTGCAGCGCACGGCTAGGCCTTTATACAGTGTACGAAGCGACCCCCCGCCTGGCTCCCACCTGGCGCTACACGCAGCCGTCACTAGACTTCTGACCGCGTCCCCAGGGCTACTTTGTAACGACCGATTTGTGCTTCTTCATCTCTTCGTCTTAGCCTCCCAGCTCCCCGACCCCCCCTCGCCTCTGGCAGTCACCTGTCCTCCATCCCGTGAGTCTGTTTTCATTTACTGTGTTCCTCAGATTCCGCGTATAAGTGGAATCACACGGTATTTGTATTTCTCCGTCTGAATCATTTCACTCGGCATAATACCCTCCAGTCCATCCACGTCATTGCAAGTGGTGGGATTTCATTTTTTAGGGCCGAGTACTATTCCACTGTATGTGTGAACCCTAACTTCTTGATCCAGTCGTCTGTCGATGGGCACTTAGGTTGCTTCTGTATCTCGGCCACGTAATAGCGCTGCAGTGAACACGGGGGTGCAGAGGTCTTTACGAATTAGTGTTTTGGTTTTCTGTGAATAATCAGAAGTGCGTTCCCTGAGTCAAAGGTGGTTCCATTGTTAACTTTTTTGAGGAACCTCTGGTTTTCTGCAGTGACTGCGCCCATCTGCGATCACCCCAACAGTGCACGAGGGCTCCGCATCCCCCCCAACACGCGTTTTTTGATGTATGGACGATGCCATCCTGACAGGTGTGAAGTAATATCTCATTGTGGTTTTGATTTGC